GCGCCTCCATGTTGTGTTTGAACACTTTAATCAACGCTGAAGTAAGGCTACTCGGGGCTAATTCAGAACGCTCCTAATGAAGCATTTTAACCCTTCGTTTTTTTAACTGATTAACTGTTAATGACTTTTTCCTGCCCCGAGCGTTCTTCATTTCTGACCCGGAGACTGCAGGCTCCTCCTTCCTGCTGATTCAGCCTGAAGACCTCCACTTCATTGACTGATTAAATAATGAGCCTTAATGGGCACGCGGGGCTTGTGGGTCACTGCTGCAGAGTTTCCATGAGCAGAGATTTATCATTACACGGGGAGAAAAATTAGAGGAAACGAAAACCTCCAAGTGAATATCTAAAAAAATGATTTTGGAGAGTATGGTTGTTGGTGCGTGCGCCCCATGTGTGGACACTGTAGTCCTCTGGGCGGGTGTCCTGGGTTTGAATCTGACCATTGGCTCTTTTGCCGCTCTCGCCCCACTCCCACAAAATTCACACATCGATCTTCCTCTCTGCAGCGTCTGTGTTTCCTCTCCCACAGGGACTGACTTTAACAAGCTCCAGCCTCGACACATCAGCGCATTACGTGTGTTTGTTTGTGTGCCGCGCAGCACTCACACAGGCACACACACTCACACACTGTAAATCATCTGATGAGCTGCTGCCCCATGTGCCTGTGCAGGTTTTCACACAGACATTTGTAGAACAGGGAGCTGACACACACGTGTTTATATTAGCTCTGTGTACGAGAGGGGAGCACGACCCGGACACAGTGAAATGTGTAAACATGTTTTGTTTGTGGTCTAATAAGCTCAGGCTGCATATTGATGATGTGGTCATTAGACACATTGCGTTTTCGCCCCTAGGTACCGAGTTGAGGTTGAGTTATTGTCATGTGTGAACAGTCATCTGTGGAACGCATCAACAGGTAAGAACCTCCTCTCTTGCTGGGAGCGTGCTTATGTTCCGACATTTAAAAAGAAAAAAAAAATCAAAATTAGGCCCTTTGTTCCCCCATTTCATTTTTCATAAATTTGTATCAGCTAGGGTTAGGGTTAGGGTAACTTACCCTAACCCTAACCCAAACCTTACCCAAACCCTACCCTGTGGGAACATAGGGCTGACCCCCTTTTGCCCTTTAGCTTTCGCAGCTACATGCTAATATAGCACGGGCAGCAGGACCTGAACAGACACCTTCAGCCTTTAAAAAAACCCGTTGAAAGATCATCTTAAAATCCAGCTGATATGAAAACCTTCCACCAGAATCCTCTTCCTGCTCGGCTGCACAGGTCAGAGCGATTTAATGTTCTTCTGAATGGATGTGTGCCAACATGAAACTTTTCATCACTATTTCACAAAAACCCTCTGAAATCAAAGAGCGAGCCTCGCTCTCTGCAGGTCTGCACGCACACACATTCACATGTGCACTGCTCCATTTAGAAAGCACACAGGTTAAACAAAGGTCGAGCACTTTAATTGCGTCTTTTCTAATCACAGCGCTCGGAAGCGTACAAGAAGACGACTCACATCCTCCCACACAGTGGGCGCTCTGATGTCGACCACTCGTTCGTTCATTATTCACTCTCTCTCTCTGATGCACTCACTACAGGAGGATCATGGAGGTCTGCAGGGCTCACTGAGGGGGGGGCGAGTTTTTAGATTAACAGTTCATCTCCCCTTGTGTTGATACTAATCGAGGAGATATCAAAACATCCAATAACCTCAGACGCTGGTTTAGCATGATCACTTTGAAACACAGCAGCTCAGACTCAGCAGCAGGAAGAAGGACCTGACTTCTCCTTCTCCAAAATCTGTCTGAAAGAATCTCATTTACAGGAGCGTCCTGCAAGAGGTGCAACAAACAAGTTACAGACACTAAACACAGATCAACATGTCACAGAAGAGTCTTTATTCCACCTGATGCATCGTCCTCCAACACCTTCAGTCTACTTTTAAAAAGAGTTCAACCAAACCAACCGTCACTGTGAATATACATATATGTTTATATATATTAATTAATTTAAATGATCAATATACACACACTTATTTATGTAAATACTGTAATTGACATCTTGATTGAGCCATCTGTCACATAACTGCATTTTACTTCTCATGTTACTTCAGCATCTTTTGCACTCTTCACCACTGCACTGTTTCATATTTAGTCATGTAAATATTAGTCTTTTCTAATTCTGTTTATTGTTGATATTTAATGTTGTACCTGTACATAAGAGAGCACAGTTCACACAAGTTAAATTCCTTTGTGTGTGTGAGCATACCTGGACAATAAATCTGATTCTGATTCTGATTCTGAAGAGTCCAGCTCCTCCAGACACAGATCATCATCCTGCAGGAGCGCGAGCCTCCTACGTCCTCCTGTTAGCTGTAGCATTAGCTGCATGTAACGCTCGGTTCTAGCCCCCCCGATCCCCCGATCATACAGAGCGCAGGGATGAGTCAGGGCCCTCAGAGCATCACCATGGACAGTATCCAAAGATACAAGGCCGTGAGACGATGCATGCAGAAATAAAACATGTGAGGAAGACTGTGGCTGAAGGTAAAACTCTGTGGCTTCAGGTGAGTCACCTGTGCAGGGCTGAGGGATGAGGGAGGCGCGTTGTTCCTTGGTTTGCGCCGACTTTAATGTCCTCACTTTCAGACGTATCTATCAAATGCTTAATTACTGTCATGATATTTCTATTTGTAGCTTTTAGCGATGTTTGAATTTGTTTTTTTTAAGGAGCCTTTCATAAAATCTGGCCAGGGACAACAGATGAAGATGAGCCTTTTAGCTAACTCTGGCATATTAACCGAAATGTTTAATAATATGCAATGTCCCTGTAAAATAAAAAATACATAAATAAAATAAAGAAATGTGTTTTCTAATTCCATCATCTGCTGACGGTCACATTAAAAACATTACACCCCTCCTGCTGCGCTCTGACAGAACATCTCGACTCTCTGATTTATGTAGATCTCATATTAACGCCACGCTGTGAAGCAGACCTCATGTATTATTCACAGCTACGACCGTGTGTGTGTGTGTGTGTGTGTGTGTGTGTTTGTTTTTGTGCATGCAGGATATAAATGTGTGTTTCATACTGTTGTGTGTGTATCTGAGTCATCACAGTGAGCTCAGCTGAAAGCAGAGGGGAGCACACAGACAGACAGGGACAGTAAGAGCGTGACGACAGCGGCGCTGCAGACGCTCCACAGATTTTAACCTCATAATCCATTTAAACGCCTGTTTCTGCTCTTTTATTGCTCATTTACCTTCTCATAAAACTCACTAAACACCCAGGAATAAAACGTCATTCAGGTGGATAAATAAAACAAAATGCTCAGACATAAAGTGAGAGTTTGAAAATGATGCAGCGAGAACATCGACCGCACGGAGAGACGTTAAACTCCAAAAACTCTCAGAGGTAAAGACTGTACTTTGTGTTCTGTATTTCATTCGTCTGACAGCTTTAACCTTTTTAAAGAGACCGTTAGGCGTAAGCGGTGGACCAAATTGTCCTTTGCTCGAGCTGCGATCATCTGTCTCCTGCATTGTTGTGTTGGCATGCTAATATTAGCGCTCTTTAGTTAGCTCGTAGCTTCACATTGTTGTGTTAGCATGCTAATGTTAGCGCTCTTTAGTCAGCTCGTAGCTTCACATTGTTGTGTTGGCATGCTAATATTAGCGCTCTTTAGTTAGCTCGTAGCTTCACATTGTTGTGTTAGCATGCTAATGTTAGCGCTCTTTAGTCAGCTCGTAGCTTCACATTGTTGTGTTGGCATGCTAATGTTAGCGCTCTTTAGTCAGCTCGTAGCTTCACATTGTTGTGTTGGCATGCTAATGTTAGCGCTCTTTAGTCAGCTCGTAGCTTCACATTGTTGTGTTAGCATGCTAATGTTAGCGCTCTTTAGTCAGCTCGTAGCTTCACATTGTTGTGTCGGCATGCTAATGTTAGCGCTCTTTAGTCAGCTCGTAGCTTCACATTGTTGTGTCAGCATGCTAATGTTAGCGCTCTTTAGTTAGCTCGTAGCTTCACATTGTTGTGTCAGCATGCTAATGTTAGCGCTCTTTAGTTAGCTCGTAGCTTCACATTGTTGTGTTAGCATGCTAATGTTAGCGCTCTTTAGTTAGCTCGTAGCTTCACATTTCATGTAAACTGACACAGAATGAGCGTGATCTAAAAACTCTTACTAACATCCAAATAATCAGTGAGTATGTTCTTCTTCTTCTCTCTAGTTCTTGACTAAAACAGCTTTTATACAGAAGGGGAGGAGCCGGCCGTCCCGTCCATGTAAACACGGCTCTGACAACAACACAGCCAGCGGGACTCGAGCTTCTCCCTCATTGTAGACAGTCAGGACTCAGAGACACATTTACACAGGACAGACTTTATGATTTATTGATGTGGAACTATGACCTATGACCTTCTTTAAAAAATAACGCTGAAGCTGGCCGAGCGCACGTTGCGTCTCCAGTCACCTCTGAATACAGATCTACCTGCAGGCTCGGCTTCATCACTCAGACAGGGAAAGTGCAAAGAGTGTTAACCACACAGACACATAAAAACAAACAAACTTTTCTAACACGAGTCCCAGCAGAGGGATGCAAAAAGAGATCGGATCTCGTGTCATAATAAATGTATGATGAAGGCGTGCACGCCGTCAGTGTGAAGCAGATGTGATTCAGTGCGAGGTGTAAATGTAATCGGGTGGTGGGAGCATTAAAGATTGAGATGTGACCTTGTTGTTGGAGGCTCGCTGATTAACTTTTCATAAATCGCCCAGCGGTGTCAAATATTCATGGATCGGGGGTTGGGGGGGGGGGGGGGGCGTATGGTTAGTGTCTGTGTACTTCATGCTGGTTGGACTAATCCCTCCCAGTTCGCCTCACAAGTCGAGACAACAGAAGAAGAAGAAGAAGTCTGAGATTTGGTAACTGTGGAGGGAGTTGTCTTTGTTTTCATCACAGGCCGTCACAAATCAAATAAAAGAAAGAGAGGCGGGACTTACTATGGTGAAGTTCATGACCTTGAGGATCCAGATAGTTAGCGCCAAGTTGATCAGGATCAGGATCATCAGCAGCAGGACAAAGAAGTAAAGGCAGCGTTTCCTCCAGCCGTATATTCCCACTTTGTACACTTGTGGTTTCTCTGAACTCTGGACATTGTTCCTATGAGTGCACTGTTCCTGGGTCATCTGAGAGGAGAGAGAGAGAGAGAGACAGGATGTGATAACGGCTGAGGTCTACGTCTTGACCTCTGTCTTACTCGGTGAACAAAGACACGGTGAGGACGTCGCCTTCAACTCGTCTGCTGTCTCCTCTGACACATCAGAGGCACGCTGCAGGAAGTGTTAGCCGCATTATGTGAAACTTATTTTAACGTCTCATTGGCTGCAGAACAAAACGATGTAATGCCAAAGTCCTAAATCTGTTCATGCCAAGATGTCAGCAGACATGTTTGTAAATCACATCACAACTCCCCCTGCAGGTCTGTGAAGATACTGAGGGCAGTTTAGTACAAGTTATAACTGACTGTCTGCTAACAACAAAATTCAAAAGTGTCATCAAGCTAGCTAAGCTCCCACCCAGTAAAGACCCGATTTCCTGGCACTTAACCCTTAAAGGCTTTATATGTGATTTTTTGATCCAGCAGATGTCGCCCTTGAGCACCAGCATGAAACCAAAACAACTGGCGCTACATTGTTGTGTTAGCATGCTAATGCTAGTGATCTTTATTATGCTGGTATCTTCACACTGCATGTAAATTTACCTGAAATGAGCGTGATCTAGAAACACAGTTAAGCAGTGAGTACAGTATGTTATTCTTCTTTTCTCTAGTCCCTCAATTAAACAACTTTTATACACGAGGGGAGGAGTCAGCCGGCCGTCCGGGCGATGTAAACAAAGTGAAGATAGGACTCTGAAAACTCTGAAAACATCACAGACAGTGGGACTCGGGTGTTACACCCATTGTAGACAGTCATGACTCACAGAGTTATTTTCAGAGGAGATACTTGATTTATATTATATTTAAGTGTGAAAAATCACAGATTAAGACTTTAAATTATTTTCAGACACTCTGGGGCTCTGGACTACTTTTGAGAAATCATGAAAAGAATATGAAAGGTTTCATAACTCTTCTTGCTAGGCGACTAATATTGTTCAAATAAAAGGAGAAACTTCCTCCATCCCAAAGTTCTGAAGTTCTTATACTCCACAAGAGAAGTTTTGTCTTATAGCTGTATTTTAGTTTTTGTTAAATCACCAATAAAAAAAAAACCTTGAACAAAGAAAAGTGTAATCAAGTGAGTATGGATGCTCTAACTAAAGCTAAACTAAAAACTAAAAACTTTGAATTTCCCTCGGGATCAATAAAGTATCTATCTATCTATTTAAAGGGGAAAGAAGAAGAAAACTAAACTTCTGGAAAATACAGGAGCCCTGAAGGTCCAAAAAGTGATGCGTTTTATCCTGTGTTCACGAGCTATCATCTAATGTCTGCACACAGGATCATAATTTATTTCCACAAGAAAATGATCTAAACTAGTTATCATGTTGAGCACAAACGATGATTATAATCTATGCAAAATAAAACTACCTGTATGGAAAGGATAACTCCTTTTCCCATGATTCATATCTTTTTCGGCTCAGCTAACCAGGACGCAGACGGCACAAAGTCCACCGTTCACGTCCATGGAAAGCGTTCTTAAGACGTATCTGATGAGGACCTCCGACACAACGCATTCAGCTGAAAGTCACCAGTTAACACGGTCACACTTTGAGCCGTAACACCGGTTCATCCTGCCGATAACGACGACGTCATCCTGGATTCTCGGTTCTGTTTGACAACACGTGTCTGTGTCTACTTGTATTGTCCTATTAGTATCTATGTTACGACAGTCGCTAATGGACAGCTACCTCAGGGAGCTGGGAGGGTAAATGGCTGTTTATTATTCTGTTGTCTTGTTTTTCTGTTTAATTGGCGCTTTTTGTTTTACTCTATGCAGATGCTCTGATTTTATGTGACATCATGTTGTACTGTCTGCAAAAATGTAATAAAAAGATTTGGAGTGCACACAGAGAGAAGCATCATTATCAGAGTCCCGGCTCAGATCTGGTCTCCTGTTTTGGTCTTTAGCGCCTTCTGAGTTAAAACGACCCGGCTCTTTAAACGCTAAACGTTCCTCTTCATTCCCCCCGCTCATGTCTCACTTAGTTCATCTGCTGTTTGTTTGCAGACTCTACTCGTGACTTAACGCTTACAGCAACAATTTACTCTCCCCGTCTCTCTGCTCGGGCTGCTTTGTATTCACTTATTACAATAAACCCATCGGGCCTCCATGCTCCAGCTTTCCCGTGATTGCTCTGTGATTTGTTGTGCAGCTGCGGAGACGACGGCCTGAATATAACGGATGCTGCACGACTGAACATTAGTACAAATAACATGCCATAAACATCCCTCTCATAGACTCCACTTCAGCGCTGACCACACACTCAGGTTGGACAGTGTGGTTAGCAGCTGCGTTGATTGATTGCCCCATAAGTGGTCTATAACTCCATTAGGCCCCCTCTGCCCCCGCCGATGTGCAGATACTGTCGATTAATGATGATTCTAATTGTCCGCCTGTGAAGAAGAGGAGGCATTGTTCACTTCACACGCCGTAATAATGGCCTAATAACTCTGCGGAAAAACACAATTTACTGTCGGCCCGTGCTCCGGAGTGCGCGCCTCAGACCACCAAAGCCAATCGTTTTTGACAACCACACACATTTAGCGCTAACTGAAACAAATGGCACAAGACAAGGCCCCGGCTGCTGAGCGCTACAGACGGGACTGCAAAGCGCCATGTCAGCAAAAAAACAACAAACAGTGGAATCTCATTGTGCACGCTCGGGTTTTCATTCTTTTGTTTTGATGGGAGATGCAGGAGGATGTCTTTGTGATGTCTCTGCTGATAGAAAAGAAGAAGGAAGTCTGAGCTGTGAGAGTAAACAAAGGGAACAAAGCTGTCACCCAAATGAAGAGTGTTGTCAGCAGCCTCAGCCTCTGTGGCTGTTGACTACACAGAGAAAGCTAATTAAGGTCTCCTGGAAGCTGCTACGTTCAGAGCTTCCTGTATGTTTGCTGACTTCTCTCTTTTCTGGTTATGATGAGGTCATCCTCCTTGATGTCTCCTCCTTAGCTCTAATCTGTGGTGGACGACGAGGAGAAACGACCTGCAACAGGCATCACGACTTACAGGAGGGAAAACATGCAGCCGATAGAAAAAGACACACGTGGTTTAGTATGCTAGCTGCTCCCAAAAACAGATCACAGAATGGGCAAAAGTGTTTTTGCTATTAAAACATTGGACTAAATATTCTTAGCCTTTTTGCTTTTGGTGCTTTTCGAGCTGCAGCCGCAAAGAGCTAACGGCTACATGCTAACTGGAACTATTTTATGTCTTCTAAAGGAAGAATGGAAGGGACAATAATTCATCATTTAAGGAAATTCCACATTTTCTTGACTGTTTTACCTGGTAAGATTGTGCGAGGACCAGAATGTTAACACTCCATCGTTGAGTTTAACCACACAGACGGGGTTACTACAAAGTAGTATTAAACAACAAAGAACTGTTTCTAAAAGGAGGATGGTGAGTTGCCCTGTGCTATTTTTCAGCTCTGCTAAACGAGGACACATGAAGTGTGAGTAAAATATTTGCGTTCTGAAGGTCGGGGTCCAAGGTAAGTTTGTGTCCAGGGCTTGTGGTCATGAAGACTCGTCCATGACTCATGACGAGGGTCTTCAGACTGCAGGGACTTCCAAGTTGTCGGGAGCAGGGCGGGGGGTTCTCGCTGGGGAGTGACAGGGGGCTGATATTAAACTGTAACCAAGGAATGTATCCCATGATGCATTTGGGGCCAACCTGGTACTTTAGCTCCACCTCTCCCTAAGCAGAGCCATCGTCCTTTCTCAAAGCTGTGTTTCTCTTTACATGTTAAAAAGTTGGAGTCACTCTGCTCTGATTGTGTTTATTCTTAAAAAGTCTGATAATAAATTCACTTCTCCGTCTCAATTTCCAGACACGTTGAGCGGGGGGTTCAGTGGAGCCAATCCTGGTAAGAACCCCCCCCCCCCCCCCCACACAGGTCTCATAACTCCAACCTCTCTCTGTCCAAAGGCTGAATGACTGATGTCGAGTAAAGGGGGTCCCGGAGCTGCCTGACAGAAACCCCGCTCAGCTCTCTACTCCTGAAACCTGAAGCTGCTAAAAGAGAGAATCATGGTCAATAATCCTCCATGCACAGGTGACTTTGCACACCTGATGTCATGGTGCTGCAGAGATCTTAAAGGCTTTATATGTGATTTTTCACACTTAAATATAATATAAATGAAGTATATCCTGAGAAAATAACTCTGTGAGTCATGACTGTCTACAATGGGTGTAACACCCGAGTCCCACTGTCTGTGATGTTTTCAGAGTTTTCAGAGTCCTATCTTCACTTTGTTTACATCGCCCGGACAGCCGGCTGACTCCTCCCCTCGTTTATAAAAGTTGTTTAATTGAGGGACTAGAGAAAAGAAGAATAACATACTGTACTCACTGCTTAACTGCTTAATAATGTTCATAACATTAATCGCCTCCGCCCGTCCCTCACTCCCAGCAGTACCGCCATCCTCTTCAACACCCTGGTTACATCCCGCATTGACTACTGCAACTCCCTTCTCTTTGGTCTCCCTCTCAAGTCCATCCACAAACTTCAAACGCCCTCTGTTAATCACATCACTCCTGTCCTACAGCAGCTTCATTGGCTCCCAGTTAAACATTGCATCACCTTCAAAAATCTGCTCCTCACCTTCAAGGCCATCCACAACCTCGCTCCGCTCTACCTCTCTGAACTCCTGCACATCAACACACCTACTCTTCTTCTTCTTCTTCCATTCAACTCACTGTACCACCCGCCCGCCTGTCCACCATGGGGGTCCAGAGCCTTCAGCCGCTCTGCCCCCCCCACCTCTGGAACTCCCTCCCACCACATATCCGTAATATCGACACTCTCTCCATTTTCAAATCTCATTTCTGAACACATCTTTTTAAACTTATTCAGTCTGATCATTCTCCACCCGTTCTCATAACTCCTCTACATCCTGGACATTTGAGTTTTTAATGTTAATTTTATTGTTGTGTTGTTACCTTGTTGTTTTTATCTCTGCCCTGTA